ACTCTTGCTCAGGCTGGTTTCGAACTCTTGACCTTGAGCCATCTGCCTACCTCGGCCTCCCAGAGTGCTAGGATTATAGGCGTGAGCCACTGTGCCCCACCCTCAGCTAATTTTTGAACATTTTTTTAGCAATACGGTCTTACTATCTTGCCCAGACTGGTCTTAAATTCCTAGCCTCAAGTGTTCCTCCCACCTTGGCCTCTCAAAGTGCTGGGATCACAGACGTGAGCCATTGCACCCAGACTTCATCGCATGTTTTGCTGTGTCTTGTTTTTTAATGTAGTTAACTGTGCAGACTTGAATCTTTCCTCTAAGTATTAGCCTTGCCACTCGCTGGCTGCTTTGGGTAAGCACACTAATCTCCCAACCTTACTCTTCTCATCTGTAAAATGGACGTAATTGCAACACACACCTCCCAAGAGTGTTGGGAAGCGTAAATGACACAGTGCAGTTTGCTTGGAACACAGTGTGCAACTGCAACTCCCAGACACAACTAACCGGTCACCTACTTGCTCCAGGGCTTGGAAGGCGCTCACGGCATTAATCCACGCCAAAACGGGGCCTTTGTTGTCTGTGGCTCCTCGTCCATAAAGTTTCCCTTTGAGAATGGGAGAAGAATTTTCAGAAAAGCGTGGTCACCTCGGCCAAGGTAAGAGAGTTAAAAACAAAGGTCGTTTTATGAGTAATAATTTTAACAGTGTTTTCTAATATCCCACACACAAATATTTTTTTTGAGACAGAGTCTCACTCTGTTGCCCAGGCTAGAGTGAGTGCCGTGGCATCAGCCTAGCTCACAACAACCTCAAACTCCTGGGCTCAAGCAATCCTCCTGCCTCAGCCTCCCAAGTTGCTGGGACTACGTGCATGCACCATGATTCCCAGCTAATTTTTTCTATATATATTAGTTGGCCAATTAATTTCTTCAAATTTATTGTAGAGACGTGGTCTCGCTCTTGCTCAGGCTGGTTTTGAACTCCTGACCTTGAGCGATCCTCCCGCCTCGGCCTCCCAGAGTGCTAGGATTACAGGCGTGAGCCATTGCACCCAGACTTCATCGCATGTTTTGCTGTGTCTTGTTTTTTAATGTAGTTAACTGTGCAGACTTGAATCTTTCCTCTAAGTATTAGCCTTGCCACTCGCTGGCTGCTTTGGGTAAGCACACTAATCTCCCAACCTTACTCTTATCATCTGTAAAATGGACGTAATTGCAACACACCTCCCAAGAGTGTTGGGAAGCGTAAATGACACAGTGCAGTTTGCTTGGAACACAGTGTGCAACTGCAACTCCCAGACACAACTAACCGGTCACCTACTTGCTCCAGGGCTTGGAAGGCGCTCACGGCATTAATCCACGCCAAAACGGGGCCTTTGTTGTCTGTGGCTCCTCGTCCATAAAGTTTCCCTTTGAGAATGGGAGAAGAATTTTCAGAAAAGCGTGGTCACCTCGGCCAAGGTAAGAGAGTTAAAAACAAAGGTCGTTTTATGAGTAATAATTTTAACAGTGTTTTCTAATATCCCACACACAAATATTTTTTTTGAGACAGAGTCTCACTCTGTTGCCCAGGCTAGAGTGAGTGCCGTGGCATCAGCCTAGCTCACAGCAACCTCAAACTCCTGGGCTCAAGCACTCCTCCTGCCTCAGCCTCCCAAGTTGCTGGGACTACGTGCATGCACCATGATTCCCAGCTAATTTTTTCTATATATATTAGTTGGCCAATTAATTTCTTCAAATTTATTGTAGAGACGTGGTCTCGCTCTTGCTCAGGCTGGTTTTGAACTCCTGACCTTGAGCGATCCTCCCGCCTCAGCCTCCCAGAGTGCTAGGATTATGGGTGTGAGCCACTGCACCTGGTTCCATGCACAAATCCTGCTATGAAATTGCAAAGTCTGATTTCTTATATACACATAGTATGGTCATCGTCGAGTCAGATAAAATAAGCTAATGTGAACAGATTCCATCAATAATGTGAACAAGGCCAGGCACGGTGGCTCACGCCTGTAATCCTAGCACTCTGGGAGGCCGAGGCGGGCGGAATTGCTTCGAGGTGCAGTGAGTCTCGAAACGCGAGCGCTGAAGCAAGAGGGAGACCCGGCCGTGCTCTACTATGAAATAGCGAAAGAAATTAATTGGCGCAACTAACTAATATAGAAAGAGAGTTAGGCCGGGCATAGCGCCCGGGTGGCGCATGCCTGTAGTCGCCAGCTACTCGGTGAGGCTGTGAGGCAGAAGGATGGCCTTGAGGGCCCAGAGTTGAGGTTGCTGCTGAGCCGGGGCTGACGCCACGGCACTCACTCTACCCTGGGCAGCAAAGCGACGACTCTGTGCTCAAAAAAATCAAAAAAAAAATAACTGGTGAACAGAATTTTCCATTCAACGCTTAACCAGTAATTCGGCCTATGTTTTCCAATTGTTTTTGCATTGAGCTATGGGAACCGTAGAATTTCTTATAGTATGCGCGATGCCTCGTAGCCTGCTGCATCTTGAGACTTACGCAAACTAGTGGACAGAATGAAGAAAAGATGCATGTTTCGTCTCTATTTAAGCTTTCTCTTATTTTTCTTTATAAAATGCAAATTATTGGGTATTGCTGAAAAGGAAAATGTGTGACCTAGACAACTGTTTTCCTCACAACCCAAGAACCCCTATCTAGGGGCATAAAGGTTCACGGTTTCTTTCATAAATGAAGGGAAATCAGCCTCATTGAACCAATCAGTAGATTGTGAGAGCAGTATTTCTCTTCATTCTTTTTTATTATTATTATTGTCTATTTTTGATAGAGACGGGGGTCTCACTCTTGCTCAGGCTGGTCTTGAACTTCTGTTGTCAAGCAATCCTCAGCCCCCCAGAGTACTAGCATTACAGGCATGAGCCAACACACCCAGCCTCTCTTCATTCTTAACGACAGGGCAAAACCCGGAGCCCCGGGACAGAGTCCCATCCCAGATCCTCACGCCCGGGAAGCAGCCCCGGTCCCCAGCAGACACGGCCCTGCTGCGCCGCGCCTCACTGACCGTCCACCTCCGTCAGCGTGTAGGGGTCCGTGAGCCACCCGTCCCCCCGGGCAGCAGGCTGCACGTCCAGGTGGCCGTAGAAGCACACGGTGGGTTTCTTCAGGTCGTTCCCCAGCTCGGCCAGGATGATGGGCGGTATTGGGAGACTCTGGCCGTCAGGCAGCTGCAGAAAGACAGAGGGTCACAAAGCGCCCTATTGTTCTTCCAGAAAATTCAGACCTGGCGTTAGGAGCCCTGTCCATTCCAGCCCTGGGTCTTCAGAGAGCCGGTGTCATTTCTCTGAGCATCACTTTCTTCACCTCTGAAACGAGTGCCGCGACACACTTTTAACTGAGACATGACACATAATTGAAAGCGTCGACTACTTCCTTAGATAGGGACTGACAGATAGCATGGTGAACCGGGCTATTCGGCAGGGACTCAGGTCTCAGCTGGCGAAGGTTAGGTGGACGGAATCCCGGAAGACAAGGGCTGCCCTGCGGCGGGTCGGCGCTAAGGCAGGTGGCGCCGGGCGCTTTTCCTTTCTTTCTATTTCTTTTTGTTTTTTTTTTTTTTTTTTAGTAGAATGGTCTCACTCTTGCTCAGGCTTGTTTCGAATCTTGACCTTTGGAGCCATCTGCCTACCTCGCCTCCCAGAGTGCTAGATTATAGGCGTGAGCCACTGTGCCCCCACCCTCAGCTAATTTTGAAATTTTTTAGCATACGGTCTTACTATCTTGCCAGACTGGTCTTAAATTCCTAGCCTCAAGTGTTCCTCCCACTTGGCCTCTCAAAGTGCTGGATCACAGACGTGGCCATTGCAACCAGACTTCATCGCATGTTTTTGCTGTGTTTTGTTTTTTAATGTAGTTAACTGTGCAGACTTGAATCTTCCTCTAAGATTAGCCTGCATCCGGTGTTGGGTAAGCACATAATCCCAACCTTACTCTTCTCATTGTTAAAATGACGTAATTGCACACACACCTCCCAAGAGTGTTGGGAAGCGTAAAGACACAGTGCGTTTGCTTGGAACAAGTGGCAACTGCAACTCTCCAGACACATAACCGGTACTACTGTCCAGGGCTTGGAGGCGCTCACGGCATTAATCACGCCAAAACGGGCCTTTGTTGTCTGTGGCTCCTCGTCCATAAAGTTTCCTTTGAGAATGGGAGAAGAATTTTCAGAAAAGCGTGGTCACCTCGGCCAAGGTAAGAGAGTTAAAAACAAAGGTCGTTTTATGAGTAATAATTTAACAGTGTTTTCTAATATCCCACACAAATATTTTTTTGAGACAGAGTCTCACTCTGTTGCCCAGGCTAGAGTGAGTGCCGTGGCGTCAGCCTAGCTCACAACAACCTCAAACTCCTGGGCTCAAGCATCCTCCTGCCTCAGCCTCCCAAGTTGCTGGGACTATGTGCATGCACCATGATTCCAGCTAATTTTTCTATATATATTATGGCCATTAATTCTTCAAATTATTGTAGAGACGTGGTTCTCGCTTGTCAGGCTGGTTTTGAACTCCTGACCTTGAGGCGATCCTCCGCCTCAGCCTCCCAGAGTGCTAGGATTATGGGTGTGAGCACTGCACCTGGTTCCATGCACCAATCCTGCTATGAAATTGCAAAGTCTGATTTCTTATATACACATAGTATGGTCATCGTCGAGTCAGATAAAATAAGCTAATGTGAACAGATTCCATCAATAATGTGAACAAGGCCAGGCACGGTGGCTCACGCCTGTAATCCTAGCACTCTGGGAGGCCGAGGCGGGCGGATTGCTCAAGGTCAGGAGTTCTAAACCAGCCTGAGCAAGAGGGAGCCCGTCCTACAAATAAGAAATTAATTGGCCAACTAATATATATAGAAAAGATTAGCCGGGCATGGTGGTGCATGCCTGTAGTCCCAGCTACTCGGGAGGCTGAGGCAGAAGGATGCCTTGAGCCCAGGAGTTTGAGGTTGCTGTGAGCCAGGCTGACGCCACGGCACTCACTCTAGCCTGGGCAACAAAGCGAGACTCTGTCTCAAAAAAATAAAAATAAAAATAATGTGAACAGATTCCATCAACCTTAACAGTAATCGGCTATGTTTTCCAAGTTCATTGATGGGAACCGAGGATTTCTTATAGTATGCCATGCCTCATAGCCTCTCATCTTGAGAGCTTGCAACTAGTGGAAGAATGAAGAAAAGATGCATGTTCGTCTCTATTAAGCTTTCTTCTTATTTTCTTTATAAAATGCAAATTATTGGGTATTGCTGAAAAGGAAAATGTGTGACCTAGACAACTGTTTCCTCACAACCCAAGAACCCCTATCTAGGGGCATAAAGGTTCACGGTTTCTTTCATAAATGAAGGAAATCAGCCTCATTGCAATCTCAGATTGTGAGAGCAGTATTTCTCTTCATTCTTTTTTATTATTATTATTATTGTCTATTTTTGATAGAGACGGGGGTCTCACTCTTGCTCAGGCTGGTCTTGAACTTCTGTTGTCAAGCAATCCTCAGCCCCCCAGAGTACTAGCATTATAGGCATGAGCCAACACACCCAGCCTCTCTCTCATTCTTAACGACAGGGCAAAACCCGGAGCCCCGGGACAGAGTCCCTCCCAGATCCTCACGCCCGGAAGCAGCCCCGGTCCCCAGCAGACACGGCCCTGCTGCGCCGCGCCTCACTGACCGTCACCTCCGTCAGCGTGTAGGGGTCCGTGCGCACCCGTCCCCCCGGGCAGCAGGCTGCACGTCCAGGTGGCCGTAGAAGCACACGGTGGGTTTCTTCAGGTCGTTTCCCAGCTCGGCCAGGATGATGGGCGGTATTGGGAGACTCTGGCCGTCAGGCAGCTGCAGAAAGACAGAGGGTCACAAAGCGCCCTATTGTTCTTCCAGAAAATTCAGACCTGGCGTTAGGAGCCCTGTCCATTCCAGCCCTGGGTCTTCAGAGAGCCGGTGTCATTTCTCTGAGCATCACTTTCTTCACCTCTGAAACGAGTGCCGCGACACACTTTTAACTGAGACATGACACATAATTGAAAGCGTCTACTACTTCCTTAGATAGGGACTGACAGATAGCATGGTGAACCGGGCTATTCGGCAGGGACTCAGGTCTCAGCTGGCGAAGGTTAGGTGGACGGAATCCCGGAAGACAAGGGCTGCCCTGCGGCGGGTCGGCGCTAAGGCAGGTGGCGCCGGGCGCGTGGGTTCGCGGTTGTCACTCGAGGCAGAGTGAAAGCTCCTGGCAGAGACTCTGGGAAGGGACACAGCTCTCTCTATGGGCCCTCTGGGAAAGACTCGCAGGAATTTAAGGCAAGGACAATCTGGGAGAGAGTTGCACCACGTGCCCAGGGAGCCAGCCGTGCACGGGAGAGAGGGGGTTCCATGGGGAGCCGACCTCCTCTCGAAACGCCCTATCGTTCTTCCGGAAAATTCAGACCTGGCTTTAGGAGCCCTGTCCATTCTAGCCCTGGGTCTTTAGAGAGCCAGTGTCATTTCTCTGAGCATCACTTTCTTCACCTCTAAAACGAGTGCCGCGACACGCTTTTAACTGAGATATGAAACATAATTGAAAGCACCGACTACTTTCTTAGATAGGGATTGACAGATAGCCCCCCCCGCCCCCCACCCCCCACCCCCTGCCCTGGCGCCCTGCAGAGACTAGAATCAGTGGGAGTCCCATCTGAGACCTGCCACAACGTCCCGGGAAGCGGGACCTGGGTTTGCTTGGGCTCGGAAAGCCCCTCTCCTGCCCCCGCCCAAGGCAGGCCTGGCTGGCTCAGAGGCGCAGCCCTTGGTGGGGAGGAGCCCGCCGGCACCTGCTGAGAGCCCGTGTCCACGGAGTCCACGCTGGCCCCCAGGCGCCGGAGCTTGTCGGCAGCCACGGCATCATCCGGAAGAGCTCTTCTCTGAACCGAGGCGAGGGCTGGACAGAGTCGCTCTCGATGGCCACCCACTCCTTGAGCGTCTAGGAAGAAAAGCAAGGAGGGGACTAGTCTTGGCGGGTCCCGCAGCCGCTCTGGCCGGGGGCGAGGGGGGAGGGGGAGACGACAGGTCCCCAGACACTCTGGAGCTGGTGGGGACTGAAGACTGCCCAGTGAGCTCTGTGACGTCCAGAAGTAACCGACAGGCGGGAGCTCGGAGGCCAGGACGCCTGGTGGATACGGAAGACTAGGCGGGCGGGTTGGGGCACAGGTGTCTTCTCTCAAGACCAGGCCGTGCTCCCCCCGGGGCACCCGGTTGCCAGGAAGGGCAAGTTCCCGCCCACTATTTCTAATTATTAAGAACAGCGTTTTGGGGAATCTTGGCTTCCCACGAATGCACCTGGGGGGGGGCTCCTGGCACCGCAGGTGACACCAATTTAATCCCATGGTGGCCTCAGCTGGGCCTCAGGGCTCCTCCTGACATGCTCTTGCATTTAGATTTCCTGGCCAGCCCTCCCGAGCCGCTAGGACCCAGGCGCTGCGACCCTGGGCTTAAACTCAGTGCCATGGACAGCCTTGGCTCCCGATCCTGTTCTTCTCTTGCAGCTGCGTGGCCTCGAGCAGGTTCCTCAAGCCCTCTCAGCCTGAGCTCAGCCACCCTTACAAGAGAGTGACGCTCCCTAGCTACAGGGCTGTGGAGAAGAGGAAGAGACAATGTGTGCACAGAACTCAGCACACCGCGTGGACCTGGCAGGTGATGAGTTCCGGCCACGCGCGTCATCAACGGTCTCTGTTCACGTCCCCGAGGTGCGACCCCAGTCGCTCGTGCTGGGATGGCCGTCATTTTTATGAAAAACCACACACATTTTGAATGACCGATTTGGGCTTTTCCTAACTTGCTTGAGTTTGATCCCTCTACCCTGGTCGTAGTACTGTTATGTTTGTTATAAAAAGAGTTAAGGCTGGGCGAGGTGGCTCACGCCTGTACTCCTGGCACTCTGGGAGGCCGAGGCGGGAAGATTGCTCAAGGTCAGGAGTTTAGAGACCAGCCTGAGCAAGAGTGAGGCCCTGTTCTCACTAAAAATGAAAGAAAGAAATTGGCCAACTAAAAATATGTAGAAAAAAATTAGCCGGGCATGGTGGCGCATGCCTGTAGTCCCAGCTACTGGGGAGGCTGAGGCAGGAGGATCACTTGAGCTCAGGAGTTTGAGGCTGCTAGGAGCTAGGCTGACACCACGGCACTCTAGCCAGGGCAACAAAGTAAGACTCTGTCTCAAAAAAAAAAAAAGAGTTTATTTAACCTTAAGGAACGCCGTGCTTTATATTGTTAAACTAGATTCCGCAGAGCCAACGCTGTGGAGTTCTCCCAGGAGTGGGCGTGGGAACCTTTGAGGAAGGTGAAAGAGGAGATGTTTGGGCTGAAAGACCCAAATTGGCAGTCAGCTCCCACAGGCACCCTTTTCCCACCCCCTGTTCATTCCAGCCGATTCCGGAACCCTCACTCAGGTTTCAGAAGTCCAAGAGGCCCTTGTGTCAAGTTAATATTCCAGGAAGAGTCAGGATCACATGAGGCCACGCAGGAGCC